TACCCACACCATGGAGCAAACACATTTCTGGCTTGATCTTCTAACACAGATGCTACTACAGTTCAACTGGCACCTGAGACTATGGGCCATATTCTGTCTCTGGATCCCTCAAAGCAATAGGACTGGCTGCTTGAGCCTCATACCTTATTCACTCCCTATTTTAGGCAGGGTATTTATTTGTAGTAATCCAAGTCCATGACTCCAGACACGTAAGATGTTCAAAGCAAGTAATGCAGAAAAGAATGTCCACCAAACCCCCCATTTCTAAGCAAATGCAGACTCCCTGATAAGATGTTCAAAGCAAGTAATGTAGAAAAGAATGTCCACCAAACCCTCCATTTCTAAGCAAATGCAGACTCCCTGCCCTTATGAGCCAAAAAAACCCCAATCCCAAACCAAATCCCACTGAGTTCTACAGCTTTCAAGTCCAGTTTTTCACCTACTGCAAATTTTCCCCAATTTAATTTTGCAAAAAGGACTACGGAGTACTTGCAATGCTTCAACCCCAGACATTGATTTCACAATCAAAAAAGTAGAGCAAATAATCTTTGGCAGCAAAATGAAGCTGAAAGTACATGCAGAAAAAGCACACATCCATGGGAAAGGGAAAAATAATTCAGTAACAATTAGAAGTAAGAAAGGGCAGAAAATTGATAAGAAAACTAAGGATCTTAGTTAAGAACGTGCGAAAGAGCAAGACTAAGTACACTTAACAGGATTTTTTAACATGCATTAGAAATAAAATGAACCTTAGAAAAGCTTATTTCTAGGGAAGGATGATAAAAGTTTTAAACACCCTGGGGAAAATGCACAAATGTTAAAGTAAGTACTCCTGTTCTAGCTTTGGAAAGAGGCAGGATTACACAGTTGTACCATGTGTGAATGATGCTATACCTTCCAGGCTATTAATCACAGACAGAGGAATTGTGTAAAAAGCAGAAATGCTTACACTGAATGCATACAAAAGGGGTATGGGAAAACTGGAGAGTACACTAAGGTGACAGGAAAATGATTTGATGGTTATGAGAACCTCCGAAAGTGAGAAAGTCTTCAGTGCTCAATCTAGGTTGTCAAGAAAGAGTGGTGAATTAATTACAGCAGATAAACACTTGTATGCAGAGGAAATTCTGATTAGTAAGAGGCTTTTAGATTTAGCTGTGACAGTCAGAAAAAGAACTGATTTGAAGCCAGCACCAGATAAATTCAAATGATAATGAGGTACAGTGTTGAAACAGAGTGATTAATGATGGTAGCATACTACAAAGGGAAGTGATGGATTCTCCATCCCTAGGGGTCTCCAGATCAAAACTGTGAGTCTTCTCAGAAAATGTTTGTCACCTAGATGCAAATTATTTACTTTGCCCAATAGCAAGGTAACTGAGCAAGGCCTAAGTTTCAGAGACAGCCAGGTAGCCTGATTCAGTTTGCTTCTGGCATTATATTCCCAAAAATCTAAATGATGCTAGCAGAAGAGAATCTCCCATGCCAAGACATTCTTTTTCCCACTACCAGCCTGTCACTGTGAGAGCTCTGGGAAGCTGGTTTCTGCGACATTAACCTTTGAAGTGGGCCATGACAATACTTAGTTTATTTGAAAAGGGCTTATGTGTCTGCACTTGTGTGTCATACAGTATCTCAACAGACCCCAGAATTCACTGGCTTTAGCTGGCAATGGAAGCCTGACATTAAAACTGGAATTTATATAATACTGCCAATATGTCTGCAATGCACAAAAATGCAGAAAACATGCCCATACACTGTTACTGGGGCATCACTGGACTATCCCTCATCAAACCTCCAAACAATTTAGCATCCAGCTATCTCCAGCCTTCTGAATCCGCCTCTGAAAAAAGGAAAGGGTCAGCATTTGTCTCACCCTGCGACCAGCCTCGTTATTCTGCAAGTTCATCAGCATGCGAGCCTGCTCCTCGGAACCTCTCACGTAGTTCTTCTCCCTCTCCTTGGCATCCACAAACTCCTTGGCGAAGCGATATCCATACTCCACGTTGTCCCCGCAGCCTCCCCACAGCCAGTCTCGGGGCAAGTCCTTGGGCCGCGCGGTGCGGCTGCTGGAGAGCTCTCCCTCACGGCACGCGCGGCTGATGGCGTTCACCACCCCGGCGGCGCTCACCGCGTAGGTGAAAGCAGTCTCACGGCTACCTGCGAGACAGGGGAGAAGCAGTTAGCCAGGCAGCTCTCATTTAACGTGCAACATGCAGGGAGGAATTTACTGGAACGAAAGAACGTGATGGTCAAGTGCAAGGGCACCATCCCGTTCTGGAGGAGGGGAAACTGCCCTGACACATGCCCACCCCCTGTCTTGGTTTTCATTTCACACTAACAGCTCCAGTCAATCGACTGTCCAGAGTTGTGATCAGCATCAAACCCAAACCTGATTCTCTGACATGCACCAGGGAAGGCTCTGAG